ATTACAAAAGATGTAATAATTAGAAATACTAACATCCTGACATACTAAAAACCTTAAAATAATTATTTTCTATTAACAACCAAAACATTTAAATTAGCGATCTCTACAAAACCTACTGCATTGAAAATTAAATATACTCTAGATTACTTTCCTTTTTAATATATGTTGTTATGTCTATTTTATTTTTAGTATTTTTGGACAACAATATCAGTATAAATGTTCCACCTAAATCAGGCCCATATTTGTATTTACAAATTGTATTACTCAGTATTTACTGTGTAATATGTAGATAAAATTGAAAATTTGTGTTTATTAATAATGTAAATAAGCTGATAAAAAAAATTTTATAATTAAAAACATTAAATGCTTTATTAATAATAATACATAATTAACAAAGACATAAAAATAAAATAGTATATATAAATTAACTATAAAATTAGTCATCGATTAAAACAAATTGTCAATTATTTACAATTTTCTTAAATGTCAAATACAAAATACTTTTTAAACCCGGATAGTAGCAATATAAAGTTTCAAAATCCCAATTTCATTTGCATTAACAGTGAAAAACTCTCAAAAGTGACAACCCGTCAGGTGCTGTCTTGTTAAGCATCACGCATCTACATGTAAGCTTATATATCTATTATCATCCCATTACCCAAAATAAAATTAAATAAAAAAACAGCCTACGACACACAAAAAAATAAACAACAACAATAACAACATACAACGCCAATATACTACATACAAATTAACTATAACATTAGTCGTCAATTAAAACAAATTGTAAATTATTTATAAATAAACAATGTTCTTAAATGTTAAATACAAAATAATTTAAAATTTTATAGTAGCAATATAAAGTTTCAAAATCCCAATTTCATTTGCATTAACTCTCAAAGTCAGGTGTTACTTGTTAAGCATCACGCATCTACATGTAAGCTTATATATCTATTATCATCACATTACCCAAAATAAAATCAAAACAGCTATGACACACAAAAAAATGAAATTATACTTAAGATTTTAAAACCTTATAATAACTATATAAAGTTTCAAAATCCCAATTTCATTTGCATTAACAGTCAAAAAACTTTCAAAGTGACAACCCGTCAGATGTTGTCTTGTTAAGCATCCCGCATCTACATGTAAACTTATATATCTATTATCAACACATTACCCAAAATAAAATAAAACAACTATGACACGCAAAGAATCAACAACAACAACAATAACGCCATACATTTGCTTGATGTATCGCCGGGGTTTAAATAAAACACACAGGAAAACTAAACAAAAGACATTTATCTCTTTGGACCAAGTACATATATTTATATTCCAAACGCCATAGGGGAAAATTATGCCCTCTTTCAAACTTACGACACTCAGTATCGTCTTTTGACAAAGATCGCTGATAGGACATGAGACCAAAACATCGCACCTGGTCAGGATGAGCAAAAACAAAGATTTAAAGGGGGATGACAATGATTAACGACTTTTGGAGGATGATTGCTGGGGGATGGGGGGATGGAAGAGAATCCACATTCTTATCACTGCAGCTTCCTTTTTAGCTTCTTAACACCATTGCAGACATCCAAATACCCTCATGTCTTCGCCCTATTGCATCTGTCAACTGATCACGATAGGGGAAAAGTGTATACTAGAATTCCCTATAAATGAAGCGATTTTTTTCCTTTTAACGAATTCAAAATTGGAAAGTTTTTGATTTAAGGGGAAATTATAAGATGAATTATAAATTTTAAATACGGGATGTGGTAGATCTTGCTCATTTTATTTTCGGTGTCGTTAATTATTTTTTATTGCAATCTTTTTTAAATAAACTAAACTAAAAATGAATTCATTCCTAAAAAATGAGTTGACATTGACTAAAATGACAATGACATTGACTATTCAGTGCTGTATTGGGTTTCGATAAACATATTTCATTTTTATCTTAAAATATATGTATTGAATTCTTTATCAAACACGTTTAGAAATGCAATATAGGCACAGTTCATGTGCTCTTAATTTAAACACTTAATAATTTCGATGATTCGTATCATATCATTCCCTGAAAATTAAACACAGATGATTATTCTGAATAAGTTTCTCCAAAAATGCATATTTTTGGATAAATGTGGGAATTCAGTTTAATAATAAATTTTTATTAATTATTAACGTTATATAATTTTTAATAATAAATTTCTATTGGAGAAATAATCAATCTTCAAATAAATTTATTGCTAAATTATTTAGATCAAAATATGCATAACTAAAAACGTTATAACAACAAAATCTTTGGTATGATAACATCATTTTAGCATAAAAATTATTTATAATATTAAAAAATTTTTATTGGTTATAATAAAGTTAAAAGTTATTTATCATTTATAGATATCCATTTGTAAAAATGGCATTTCACAATGAAGAATTTATATTTTATCTCTAACTACAATACTTATTAAAAATTAAAAATATAATTCGATATTATTTTTATATAATTATACATTTTTTTTGAGAATTTAAGGATATAAGATTATAGGAATTATAAGAATAAGAAGAAATACAAGAATTTTAGTAAGTTTTCTATTATAAAATTTCAGTAAGTTTTCCCTTTCTAAATTAGCAAAAAATCCCTCTCATACAGATGCCATTTTTTTCTTTTTAATAATGCTACCACCAAGCGATCTTTATCAAACGCCAAACGACAAATTTATTGACAGGATGACGAACTCTACGGGATAGGGTTGGTGGAACGAGTCATCTGAAAGTTTCAGCTGCTCTCTCTCTCTCTCGAAAAATATTATCGATAACATCTAAAATGGAAGGAAATACACATATAATAATAGAAGAACATAAACAAAGGTTGCCAGAGTACAAGGTAAGTTATATGATTTATAACGTTTAATTATTATTTGATATTCTGTCGATAACGCCACGATAATGAATACATACGGCTGTATTATGATGCTCTTCAAATTAGGTATTTGAGATTTGGGTTTCAATGTGAGAGATTTTATCAATGTGTCATTTTAATACGAGGTATTGATGAATTTGAAAGACTTGTTCGTTATTATTGTTATTGCATTAGCAAAATCTAAACTTTTCTCATAGTTTTTAAGTTTTAAATTAAAAAACAAAAATAAGAAATTTTTTTTAACTTAGTAGAATCTAACTGAAGGATTGGTGAAGATGGATTCTTATTATGGTAATTCTTGCTAAAAGAGTTATTTTCTTTTATAAATAAAAAAGTAGAGTTATTAAAATACATATATAGGCTATTTATTCACAAAGTATCCCTTCGATTTATCATCCTTCATTATATTGTCCTGTAATTGCATCTACGTCTTTTGAGTGGAAAAAAAAAGTCATATATCTAAAATATATAATCAAATAAAAAGTCATATACATAAAATCAAAGTCATACACACGCACACACACATACATACACACACACACACACACATACATACACACACACACACACACATACATACACACACACACATACATACACACACACACACGTATATATTATATATATATATATATATACATATATATATAATATGACTTTTGATATGACTTGTTTTTATGGGACTTATAAATATATATGATTAAAAATAAATAATCAAATAATATATAAATCAAAGTCATATATCATTATATATATATATATATATATATTGATATATGACTTTTATTGAATTAATAATTTTAGATTAGTTGGTCTATTTATTTATATATCAACTAATCGTAAATAAGCAGTAGTATTTCTAGACATCTCGTCAACATATATACCACACAGCTTTGACCACACACACAAACACACAAGATACTGAATTTGGTTTTATGATAACTACCATACTCAAACAACAAACGTATGGTGAACATTTATGAGTTCTTTTCTGAAAAGTTTAGTGGGAGTGTATATAAGTCGGAAATCTTAGAATTTGTAAGATGTGTATATTTTGTTTATTATCATATTTGTGAATGAGATTACAGTGTAATACTTAGTGACATCTTTGAAATACGTTTTTAAAGATTCTATGACACAGCGTTGAAATTGTTGTTGCCCTATAGAGCTAGAGTTGTCCTATAATGTTGGTGTAGTCCTACAGTTTCCCATAAAGTTGGATCTGCTATTAGAACAATAAGTACTTCCCATTGTTAGTAACCGACTAAGTCATAAATAGTACAAAAGTTAAAATTAAGTCTTCAAGTAATTCAAATTCAAATTATATCAATGCGTAAAAGACATTTAAGCAATGGTGGTTTTTCTGCATGAAACTTTTTATTCGACAATAATTCCATAAGATGCTTAAATTCGATTCCTTGATACATAAGTATGGAATGGCTGGAATGAGACCTTATAAATGACAAATAGAATGAGACCTTAGTGGCAGGACAAAGAGACAAAGAACAACTTTGTGATCAAGGCATCAAATAACGTCATATGGGAATTAACATAATGTCAAATATGGGGCTAAATGCTGTTTCATTTACTGTGTTGAAATGACGGTCAGATATTTTATACTTAAAATAAAAATGATTATGCCTTATCATAACATATAAGGAAAAAAAATGTTTCTAGGATTGTCAATTTTTTTCTCGTGTGTTGATCAACTAGAACTATAGTCAAATGAAGCTGTCTGATACCGGAATTAAAAAGTTTTTGTACAATAAATGCATATTTTTGTGTCTTAAAAGAACAGAAAGCTACTTTTGGAAATAAAATTCAAAGAAATTTTAATTCCACTATTTGACACATATTTTGAGAAATACTATAGACACATATGTCTAAAGAAAAGGTTCATTTAATTTTTTTTTTGCTCTTTATATATGTATGTAGGTAATTTTATTTAAATTATGATAAATTAAATTATCTTTACAAAATTGTCAACATGAATTGCGATGTATTTACTTTAAAGACAAACAAAAGCTTTGCTCAATACATAAAATCTTATATCATTTATAAAGATGCCAAGATGCCATAAGCCAACGGCCATATCATGCTGAATATACCGGTTCTCGTTAGATCACCGAAGTCAAGTCATTCGAGGGTGGGTGGGAAAGGGCATCTGAGCCAAAGAGCTTTTATCCCCATTTTCTAAAGCATCATTGGGCGCGGTCAGTACTGGGTGGGTAACCACCTGGGGGAACGCCGCGTGCCGTTGGCATTCACAAATTTGGGACCTGAATGGCCGAGTGTCTAGCGCTCTGACGCTCACTGCCACAAGTTTCGGGTTCGAATCCCGGCGGAGCCATGGATGTTTACAGTGGTTCGGAATCTACTTTAAGCCGTAGGTCCCGGTCTCCTATGACTGTAAGAGCGTCACGGAGCCAAAGTCAGACTTCTACCTACGGGTGCTCCATCACAACAGAAGCTGCTTCCTTCCCCTTCAATCATCACGTATGGGCTCGTGGGCTTGGCCAGCCAAGTGGGATAAGAAACAACAAACATAAAGATGCCATTACACCCAAAAACAGACTTTTTTTTTTTCACAAATAAAAAAGTTTGCGTTATTGTCAAACTACATGGCATTTGTAGATGCCATTTTTAACTATTCCATTGCCTAATATGGATATCGATTTAAATATTTGTATTTTATTCATAAATTTCATTTTTTTTTTTTTCTATTTTTTATAATAACAGTAATAAAAAGTCTTAGAATATCTTGCGAAGATGCTTACTAGATTTAAATAATTTATAATGCAGAATCTAAATAATTTATAATGCAGAATCTAAATAATTTATAATGCAGAATCTAAATAATTTATAATAATGTTTTAAATAAAAAATAATCAATTATGACTTCAATTTTGATTAAAAACATAAAAGTATCTGTAGTAGGCAGACGGGCTCTGGTCTATTATGGTGGTGCTGCGCCAATGAAGACGATTTGGTTTTTGTCGCTCTACGGTCATTTTTGTGCACACTTTAGGCTAATTAGAAAGGGACCAACAGTTTAACGTGGATTCTGAATCATTAAGAAGCATCCATGACACTGTCAGGATTCGAACCTGAAGCACCAAAGGCCAGAGAGCTAGCTAATTGGCCATCAGGCCTCTATATTTTGATATTAATATTTATGAAAAAATTTTTTGAAGTTTGACGATATATATATATATATTTTTCGTCTTATTCAAACATAAATTATATTAAAAAAGCTCCATTTAATTCGAAATAAAAATTCAATTTGTGTAGGTGTGTACATATTTTTTTATTTCAAAACTTAGTATTGCAGCACCTTTATATACGATTTTTAAAATTTATTAAGAAGACTTTCATAGGTTAGTTATTACTTTAAGTATTGATTCTGCATTATCTTTGTCAAAATTTAAATGACACTTTCTTTTTTCGAAAATATCTTATTTTTAAAAATATTAGTTTCTCCAATTGAAAAATTTCACAAGAATGCCTATAATAAGTTCCTTTTTCTATGTTAGTGACTTAATTTTGATTAAAACATTAAAGTATCTGATTTTGATTAAAACATTCAAGTATCTGATTTTGATTAAAACTTTAAAGTATCTGATTTTGATTAAAACATTAAAACATCAAAGTATCTGATTTTGATTAAAACTTTAAAGTATCTGATTTTGATTAAAACTTTAAAGTATCTGATTTTGATTAAAACATTAAAGTATCTGATTTTGATTGAAGCATTAAAGGGTACTTACGTATTAACGGTACCTTGGCGACAGTTGCGCCAATAAAGAGCACACGCGCCAACCGCAGCTACAGATTTGGCGCCAATCTACATTTAAAATTTTTGTTCCAAATAATAAAATATATATGAAACACTTCATTTAAAATCAAAACGCTTTCAAAATATTTTTATTAAAATAATAAAGATTGGCGACACTTAAAAACCGCCAAGTCTGTCGCCAAGGTACCGTTAATACGTAAGTACCCATTAAAGTATCTGATTTTGATTAAAACGTTAAAGTATCTTCAATGTATAATTTTCTTCATATATCATTAGTATTGCTTTTGTAGTACTAATGTTTATTTCCCTTGGCAAAAAATAATGGATACCTTGTTTATAAAAGAAACATATGCTTGAAAGAAATGTTACATTAGCTGGTAACAAATTTCTACACCCACTAAACACAATAAAACGAAACCACCATCATTTTTTATTATCAAATCTCCCATGCATATCAGCGCCCGCCCAAATTATAACCTCTTCAGCGATGCGTGTAAAGGCAAGTGTCATTGATACAATCAAAGAAGGCATAAATTCTACACCAAACAATTGAGACACTGCGCTATGCAAAGAATTGAAATTCAAGCAGAAAACGAGAGCTAAACAAGGTAGCTACAGATGTAATAATAGTTATCACGCATAACTATTTTACCATCTCCGATTGCTACTGTATTTACACTCATTTGCATAAATGTCGCCAGGGGGCGTGAGTGGGAGGAGTTTTAACTTTGTCCGCCACACCCATAAGGTGTGCGTGTTACGGCCCGGACACCACACGATATTTTTTCGAACACGACAACACTGAAAGAATAAAATAATAATAAAAAATAATAATGATAATAATAATAAATCACACAGCACAATGGTGTGTGCGAGTAAGGGGAAAAAAATAATCAAAATAAATAAAAACTAAAAAGTCTGAAAAGAGTTGCTCTGCGACATACCGGTTCTACGTATAAGCATAAATTGCCGTGACTAGCAAGTTAAAGAAGAACGACTGTAATCATTAACGGAGAGCAATAAAAGTATAAATGTGTACGAATAAACCCCTCAAAAGAATTCTGAAGAGAATTAAATGCAGGTTTCAAGTAGTCATGGTGAGAAAAATAAAAATAATAGCTCAAATGTTAATTACGATGATATTTTTTTTTATAAATGATGTTAGTTTAATTGAGGAACTTGAAAAAGTTGTCAGTTTATATACGATAAAAACTCTTGCTTTATATGCATCAACTGTCTGTGAAAATATTTGTGTTATCTATGAAACTTATAGCTGTTCTTTTTATTATTTATTTATTGTTGTGTGGGTGTTTTAAATTTTTGTAAATTTATGACTTACTTTTGTGAATTTATGAATTGAATAAAGTGAAATACTTTTAAATTAAAATTTTATTTTCATAGATGAGCAAGTAAGTAAGTGTCTAATTCTATTTCTCATAAAAATTATTCAATCGTTTTTTGGTCATTTTACTGCTTAAAATTTTAAACACAAAGAACTTTATTCAAGAAATTATACTATTTTGTTTCTTCTTCAATCTAAAAATTTGCAAAATCAATTTGAATTCAATTAACAATCAAATATGAATGTTGTGTTGTAATTTTACAAATTTAATTAAACTCGTATATTAATTAATCTATGTCTATTCAATTCTATTTACCATACCAGTTCTACGTATAGCATAAAAATTGCCTTGCCCAGAAAGTTAAAGAACGACTGTAGTCATTAACAGAGAGCAATAAAAGTATAAATGTGTACGAATAAGCCCCCTCAAAGAATTTTGAAGAGAATTAAATGCAGTTTTCAAGTAGTTATGGTGAGAAAAAAACAATAGCCTATTTTTAATAAATGATGTTAGCTTAATTGAGGATATTGAAAAAAAGTTGTCAGTTTGTATGCGATAAAACTTGCTTATATTTGTCAACTGTCTGCAAAAAAATATTTGTATTATCTATAAAACTTGAAGATTACTTTTTAATTTTTTTTATTTATTTACTTATTGTTGTGTGTTTTAAATTTTGTGAATTTATGACTTACTTTTTATGAATTTATGAATTGGATAAAGTGAAATACTTTTAAATTAAAATCCAGATTTCGATTGATGAATAACTAACAAAGTATCTATTCAACTCTATTTGCCATAGAAAATATTCAGTCGTTTTTTAAACATTTTATTACTTAAAATCTTGAACATAAAGAACTTTATTCAAGAAATTATATTATTTTGGTTTTTCTTCAATTTAAAAAAAATGCAAAGTCAGTTTAGAATTAAATTAATAATTAAATATGAATATTGTGTTGTAATTTTACAAAAATTACCATATATTAATTAATATAAGTCTATTCAACTCTATTCACCATATAAAATATTCAATCGTGGATTTTTCTGACAAATGACAAATATGTCCAATCATTACTTCAGCTATTTATAATATAAATATGTATTATAAATATTTTTAAATATAAAAGATTTTTGTACCTGTAATTGTTTTTCAATCTTTACTTTTAAGACAAGAATAAATGTATTCAATTATTACTACAGCCATTTATATTTATTCAAGCCTATTTTTATCTTCTTTAATAGTTATATTATTTATCTTTTTTATCGCAAATGCAACAACATTATTAAATTTTCATATAATATTCATATTAAAAATAAAATTTATTTTAAAAAATTTAGTTTTTTAAAAGAAATTTTATGTAATAATTATAAATATGTGTTAAAAATGTTTATGAAATATAAACATTAGCGTTTATTTTATACCTGCAATTTTTTTTTCAATCTGCATTTTAAAAACAAATATATTCAATCATTACTGCAGCTATTTATATTTATCCACGCCTATTTTTATCCTTAATTTTTTAATAATAATATTATTTATTTATTTTTTTGTTTTCATATGAAAATTATAAAAACTGCATTAAATATAAAAGATTATTTTAAAAGAATTTTCGTTTTTTTTAAAAGAAACCGGACACAATAGTTATAAAAATATAAATATTATTATAAATAGCGTTTATTAAATATAAATATATTTTTATACCAGTATTTTTTTAATCTGCACTTTGAAGACAAGAACAAATATATTCAATTAGTACTGCAGCTATTTATATTTATACAATCCTATTTTTGACCTTAATTCTTTTTAATAATTATATATTATTTATTTTTTATGTCACAAATATAATAATATTATTACATTTTCATATAATGTTTTAAAACTGCATTAAAAATAAAGTAAATTAAAATTGTAAAAAAGTATATATTTTAAAGAAAATTTAGCATATTTAAATAAATCTTATGCAATAAATATAACTATATATTATAAATTGTGTTCATGAAATATAAATAGATTTTTATAACTTAAAGATTTTTTTTTTTTCAATTTGCACTTTAAAGACATATACAAATATATTCAATCATTACTACAGTTATTTATATTTATCCAAGCCTATTTATTATC